TGGGTGAGTGCCAGTGCCAGTGCCAGTGCTATTGCCAGTGCTATTGCCAGTGTGTGAGAGCCAAAGAGCATAGAGCACAAAAGAGTCGAAGAAGTGGGAGTGGGAGTGGGAGTGGGAGAGCAAGAGCAAGCTGGTGAGCAGCTCTGGGCAGTAGTTGTCTGGTGAATGAGTGAGTGAAAGAGATGGGATGGGGCGGGTGAGTGGTGATGGTTAAGACAGTGTAGAGCACGGCTAGGCTAGAGATTTGAGGAAGTTTGGTAAGCGATTGAATAAGAGCGTCTCGCTGCTGCTGTTGTTGTTGTTTCTGAGCGTTATTTCAAGCGTTTTAGACCACAATTACTTTTTTTAAGGGAATCGGGCCCGCATAGCCTTGATGGATGGACCGTCGATATCCCATTTAATCCGGGCTTGTTTTAGATAAAACGAAGCTGGGACTGTTCACCCGAGGAAAACTATCGATAAATTGGCTATCAATACAATTAAAAACAATATTTCGATCATTCGATCATCAGGCGACAGCAACGACAAAGCCAGCTCTTTCTTACCGTCAAAGCCAATCAATTAAGCACTCAAATGGAACATGCTATTCGATCCATTCCACATTTTTCAACTTCTGGCTCTCCACTTCCGATTTCTCCACTTTATGTAATTAATTTATCGATTGCTGGATGAAAACTACATCACCCTGAATATGCATTTTCTACAGAGAGGTGGAGAGAGACGGGGAGGGGTGCAAAACATTTCAAACCAAGCAAAACGAGGCAAAAATTACAAGAATGAAACACTATAGACGAGTCTTTCGATTATAACGGAAAATTAAATACATATATATGTCTGTAAGGAGCAGATGATGGAGGACATTGATTTACAATATATGTACATATGTAAGTCATTATTTAATTCTGGTCGTCACCTGAATACATATGTACATAGTATGTACCTTTCTTGTGCTCGACAAGAGTCCAGGGTATATCAAATAAACGGAAACCCAGCGCACGAACGCCGCGGCGACGCTGGTTGAGAAAGAGCGCGCGCTGCCTGCCTATTGAAGCGCCCGTGGCAGCGAGGGAGAACGAGAGGGAGAGGGAGAGGCAAAGACAGTCGAGACAAGCGAGGCATTGTCCAGAAGGAAACGCGGGGTGGAATTAACTTTGCAAAAGCAAAAACAAAACCGAGCTTAAAGCGTGTGTAACGGAATTTTGTTGTTTGTTTATTTGTTTTCTCCATCGTTTGGCGGCGCGGCGCGCGATCGAGAAAAGAAAGCCAAAGGTGGCCACTGCCACTGTTGCTGCCGGATAATGTACATACATATGTATGCATGTATGTATGTACATACATTCATAAATATAAATATGAGAGATGGAGAGAGGCGACACGAACAGGTGTTGTGGGCAAGTAGTCGGATGACTTAGGAACGGCCAGGGGCGTAAGCGCCAGTAGCTAACAATTTTTCCACCGCCGTTCCACCGCTCTGCGTAAGGCAGAGCAGAATCAGCCGAATATAAGGGCAAAGATGAGAAACAAGAGGGATGGAAGAGCATGAAAAATAATACGAATGAGGAAAAGAGACTGAATAGGAGGAATCAAAAGAGTCCAAAGAATTTAATGTCAATCTGCAGACAAAGGATATGATGAAGAAAGCCGTAAGGGCTAGGGAATATGAGCGAGAGGGAATAGAATACGAAGAATATAAGGACGAAAAAAGAAGGAATGTCTGTAGAAGAAGGAATTGGAAATGAAGCAGAATAGGAGCTGAAGTACGAAGCAGCAGCAACCAGTGAATGAAAGTTAACGGTAAAGGAAATGGAATAACCAGCAACCCATGTACGCACACGCACACGCACATGCATACACACACAGCATATATGTATATATGTATATATACATATACATATACATATGTATATAAACCGAAACGATCTAAACGAAAAGTTCAAAAAGCTGCGATGCTGCTTTTGCTGTTTATGCTCTGCCAGCAGAGCGCCAACAACTGCGAGTGGGCCAAAATGTTTTAGCAGCTGCAGCGCAGAGACGCAGAGAGACGCAGCAGCGACCGACGACGATGGCGATGGACGTGCATAAAAGACAAGACAAAAATAATGATACACAGGCAGGCACACTTATGCTCGTGTATGTATGTGTGTGTGTGTGTGTGTGTGTGTGTGTGTGTGTTTGGATATGTGAAGGTTCGGAGCTGCAGCCACTGCTGCGATTTGGCTAGGAGAGCGCTGCTACTGCCTAGAGTATGTTGTTGCTGCTATTATTGTGGTTGCTTTTTGTTGCAAGTGGAACGTGATTATTTCAACGAGCGCTACGCTTCTTTAGTGCGCACACACACACACAACACGAACACAGACACAGACACACAGGCAGATAGACACAGTCAAAGAAAAACAAAACAACATCCATGGGATGTATGTATGTACATACATACATATACATACATACATATGTGTGGTTGCTAGAGATGGACCGCGGACTGGGCTTTCAAGGCACGAACCAACACGACCACAAAACGGAACTTATGACCACAAGCTCACAGACACACGATGATTTATCATACGCACGCGAGTATCGTTTGTCGTGTATGTCGTGTAATGTAGGCATAATGTACATGCATACAATACATATGTACGCACAAGTTCTGAGTGAACTCTGCAGAAAAAGTATTACTCAATCCTGGCGGGGGATACCTGATAAGCAAATGGAGCAGCACCTTCTTAAACAATCGTTTAACGTTGCAACGCGTTGGCACTCATACATTCACATGTTTTGTAGTGCTTTTGCGTGCGTAGACAACAGGCACAAAGCGGAAGCGCAGCAGCAGAAACCACTGGTATACTGAGTACACATATGAGATCATTGCCTATTATTTTATGGACTCTGAAGTTACCTTATGTACATAGATATAAGAAGCCTCCCATCTCTAATGGGATCTGTGGATCTGCCGAGGATATACATATGTATGTACATATGTATGTATGTATATAATCAAACTCCCATGCGATTCGTGTTTGCTTATGTTTCATGATGCGTCGTTTGCATTGGGTTCCTATCCTTTCTTGATTCAATTCTTGATTCTTGGTCACCGTACTACCTATTATCTGATTGGCCCTGTTTAAGCTCGTAACAAACAACAACTCAGCCTTCTAATAATACCAAACATTTCAAGAAACGCACAACTCTTTCTTCGATTGTTGGCTTTTGTTTTTTTATTGTTTTTTTGTTTTCGGTTGCCCGTTTGTGGCTTTTTTTTTTTGTAGTTGTTTCGTGTGTCTTTTTCTGATTACTTGGTTTTCGCTTGACTTTTCCCTTTGCCGCTTTGATGTGTCTTTTCTTTGTTTTTAATTCGGTGTGTCTTTGCTCTCCTTTTATAGTTGTGTCTTTTTCGCTTCTACTATAGTGCACCCCTTTTCTATCTCTGCTTTTACTTTGGGATAAAATTTGAGTAGTTTTGGTTTTTCTTTGGTGTTTATATGTTTATACCATCTTGTGTTTGTGTTTGCGCCTCTTTTTCTTAATTTGTTTGTCTTTGATTTGTGTTTTTGTGTCATACCCATGCTTGCCCATTGCTTTGTCGTGTCGTTGCTTTGACTTTTCTTTGATTTCTTCATTCTTGTTTTTATACTGCATTGTCTATGTGGCTTCGTCTCTGTCTTGCTCATACTTGGCTTTGCCCTGTCTTTGCTCTTTTTTTGTTTTATTTTGCTTTAGCTTTGCCCGTACTTCTTTGCTCGAATTGCCTTTGGCTGGCGGCCTGAGCTTGGCCTCAATGTTTCTTCGCTATGAAATATGCCGCCGCCGCCGCTGTTGTGTGTGTGTGTGTGTGTGTGTGTGCGTGTGTGTGTGTGTATGGTGCAAACGGGTGTCTGCGTCTGCGAATGTTTTTTGTGTGTTTCTGTATTCGTTTATGTTTGTCCGATTGTTGGATGTTGCTGCAACATTGCAATACTCGACTAAGGTAAATGAGAGACGGAAAAGCAGTGGAAGTGGAATAGGATGGGGGATGGGCGAAAGAGAAGAGGAAAAAGGCTGGTGGCAGAGGAACACAAGTCCTTGTGGAAGCCATATACTACTGCGGTGCGCTGAATCGGGTTTGGTTTACTGCTCAAGCCATTTACTGTTTCAAAGCGGCTAAGCAGTTGCATCACCCGACAGCCGACTGTTTGTGGCTGTAATCCCAACAGGAGTATTCCATGAATAAATAGAACGTCATAAAAACACTGCGTTGTACATACTGAAATCATTTTTGAGAGAGAGATGAAACTAGTCCAAACATAATTTCGAAACCCGTGCCTTTTATGCCGTAAACATAACTGATTGCTAATTTGGAGACTTGCCGCACAAACAGGCATGCAATAGTCTTGCAAAATGCCCAAGTCAACCCCTGAACCGCTCAAAAACTCATTTAATAATGCTGCAGCAGAATTTATAACCTTACATTTACGTCACTGAATTTTTCTGTCATTAATTGTAAACATCCCTTCGTACCATTTCTCGGATTCAATTATGTACTATCCTGGGAACAGCATTAAGCGCCTCATGGTTTCAGTCCATCGATTGCATCATCTCATTGATGTAACACGACCATCTTGACTCACTGAACTGCTGCTGGCAAGTAGGACTTGCTCAGAGAAATTTCACAGTTGAACCTTTCATCGATTTGAAGCAGTTCCTGGTGCTGCCTACAATTAAGTGGCAGTTCGAAATCATCTCACTTTCGATATCTGTCGGTTTAAATCCTGCCTGGCCATTGGTCTGTGATTTGACACTGCTGAAAAGGGCAGTTGCCACCTCCTGCAGCCACAGGAACGAACCCCCTCAGACACACGAACAGACACACGAACAGACACACGCACAGACACACACACAAGCACCTTTAAAGAGCACACTGGCAAATTAATCGCTCCCCAAGTTCAGAGTTCATCATGAACCGTACACCTACGCGTACGCCTACTTGTCTGCTGGCGTGTGTGTACGATATGCTACTTGACACTAACCTGGGCAGATTCTGCAGGTGACGCAGCTGCTTCTCGCGTCGCAGCTCGTCGTTGAGGCGACAGTAGGTGTTGTTGATGCAGACGCTGCGCCGCAGATTTGTCTCCGAGTCCTTGATGCGCTCCATTTTGTGGGCGCAGAGCTGCAGGATCCGCTTGCGCTCCTCGCGCTGCCGTAGCTTCGGCGAAATCATCGGCACGCGCGATCGATGATGGTGATGGCCCATCGGCGGGGAGCAGCGGGGCGGGCCGAACATGTCCGAGTCATCGTCGCTGCCACTGCCGCCATTCGCTGCGACGTTTGTATTGGTTGGCAAGGTCATTGTGCGTTTTTATTGCTCTCGCTATATGTGTTTATGAGTGTGTGTTGAGCGTGCGAGAGTCGCTCTCTCTCTCTCTCTGCTGAAGACTTTTGATTATGTTTTGGTTTATCGGCTGCTCCGCTGCTGCTGTTGCCAGTGACTTAAAACTGCAGCAATTATGCTGACAAGGCAAACCAAAAATTGTTCAAAGGCGTTTTGGTTGTCGTTTGTTTGTATTTATGAGGAAGCAACTTTTTGCATCACGTAAATGAGCTAAGCTCCTCTGACGCTGTGATGCTGCTGCTTCTTCAGTCTGAGTGGGAGCAAGAGTCGCCGTTGCCCACGAATGTTTTTTTTTTTGCTTGAGATTTCACTTTGCTGTTTATTACCGTTAGGTTAGCGTTCCTGCTGCTGCTGCTCTTCTTATATTTGTTATTTTTATTTTTTTGCAGAAATTCAAAATAATCCAGGACTTTTGAATTTAATTTTAGTTCTTTGGCACAAAAAGTCATTCAAAACGGTGAAAAAAAATAACAAAAAACATTACAGTATCTTTCTCTCGTCAGTCGCCTTTTTATTCCAACTGTTCTTGATTTGGCGTTTGGCGACGACTCCAGGCTGTTGGTGAAACTAGGGGCTCCCGGGGAGCCGATGGTGATGATATTGCAGCACACTCGGAAAGGTCGCGACTTAGAAAAAATACGACATTAATTCTGTTTGCTGTTTTTGTCGCGGCCCCGAGTTTCCCCACTGTTGATATGAATATTTTTTAGTGGGATATATCAACGGAAATTTCTGAATTCAGAAAATAATTTGACAAGGCTGTGTTGTTTACACGTCCGCGGCGAACAAATTTGTGCATGCTGCCCGTTCCGTGGCCATGTTGCGGGACATGCTGCTCGTTTTCTCGGTAAATGAGTATGGCTCATACAAATTAGTGTTGCCGCAACTTTTGTGCATGGAATGTTGCCAATGTAGTGGGACAATGTAGCTAATTTCTCGGCATCAACATAATACGTAAGAAAACGGAAGTGAGTATGAAATGTAGGGACATTGCTGCGATGAAAAATCCACAACGAAAAAGAGAGCAAGTCCAGTCCCAAAAAAAAAGGGGAACAACAGGCCTTCGATACAAATTCGAACAAATTTGTGAGATATTTTTTCCGGCTACAATGTGCCCAATGCATGTTTCTGACTCATGTTGCTTGAAAACCGGTTGCACTGCAAGGCTGCAAATGTTTCCTTCTGCTTAAATGTTGCTGTAACACGTCTGTTGGGTATGTACAAAAAGGTATGGATAACTTGGTAAAGCCCCCAGCGACATGTACCCGTTTTCTTTACTTACCTTGTGGCATTTTTCTAGGAACATACACGCGGACGGCCACAGCAACATTTTGGAGAGAGAGCAAAATCGACAACGGAGAGGCAATGTACAGATGTTCGTCTCTTGTTCGGCGTAGCTTAAAGAGCGCATTGTGAAAGAGAACGCTATACCAACCCCCTTTCAACCACACCTCGGGCACAACATAAAGAGAGCAACGCATCTTGATATGGCGTACGTGCCGGAGCGGCTTCTCCCAAACATATGCATGCGATTGTGTATGTGCATGTGTGGGGGGATATGCAAGTGGCGCAAAATATTTTGGCACCGCATGGCTCTGGCTGTGTACGTGTGTCCATATGTAACGGAAGCAAAACGCAAGCACACGCGAGCCTTTGACCATCAAAACGGCTGCCTTGCTAGGTGGGCCAGTGGCGGAGAAGGTTAGGGTGGGCAAGGCTTTGGCACGCGCTGCACGCGCTCCAGCGTCTATTTTCTTCGACTATTCTGCTCTGCTCTGTCATCTTTCGCCAGTGTCTCAATTACATACAATTTTTCGACCGACTCTTTATTTTTCTCTTGAAACTCCCTCTCCTCACCGACCGTGTCTTCTTCTTTATCATCACCAGCCACGGTCACTTCTTCCTATCTAACTCATGCCACTGTGTCATCGTCATCTTTTCCACGAGGGCTCTCTCCTTTGACTCTTGCTCTTCGTCACTGTCCCATGCCTCTGACCTGACACTTCTTCCCCTCCATCGTAAACATCCTCATCGTCTCTCTGTATGCGATTGCTGGCTTCTTCTCCCTCTTCCGTCTCGCTCTTTGTGTTTGTTTGACGTTTTATTATTACATTTATGTAAAAAGTGAGCGGCCCTTGGGCCCACCGTTCATTGTTGTGGAGGTGGTCTGGTCTCCACAGAGGAGACGACACACTTTTCTCTACATCAACGTTTTATAGTTGCGTCCATGTGTCTAATTAGCCAAAGCGGGATATCTGGTCAATAGTTTCACTTTGATTTTAGGCTAAGCAGATACACACACACTCGCACATGAACAGAGATAGTGGTAGTGTGAGAGCGAGTAGAAGGTAAAGAGCAAGTGCCAAATTGCGAATGTAAAAAGAATTAACAAATCAAAACAAAACCAAAATCAGTATACATATGTATGTAAGTATCAGAGCAACGCCTCAAAGCAACCATACCTCTACCCCTCGTCCAACTCATCGACAAAATACAGTTTTAGAATGATTTCCCAGCAACAATTCTGAGGTCAGTTTTGGCAGCCATGAGAGTGGCGTGAGTATGCGTGTCTGTGACTCTCACACAAAGAGACAATGCAAATTTTCACTCAAACAAAGAGACAAACAAAGATGAGCAAGAGCGAACGAGCAAGCGAGTTCATGAGTGTGTTCGTTTTGAGTGGGGCGGTGTGTTTACATTACACGATCTTTGTACTACGAGTATTATTAAGTCAGAGAGGATGATTGTTACCGTTATTTATGGGACGACACACTCATCAACAAAATGGTGGTCCCAAATAATGTTCTTTATCAGGAAATGAAATTCCCCTGAAAAAGGGGAAACACCTTATCAGGCTGATCAATCTCTCTCCCTCCCTCTCTCTCTCTCTCTCTCTCTCTCATTGTCTCACTTTTTCTCTCTCCGTCTTATCTCTCTCTTTCTTGCTCGCCGCCTTTGTCTTTTGCATTTCTTCCAATACAAGATCAATTCAAATTACGTAATTAAGCAAAAAGCTAACAAACAATTAAATATTTATTGCTTCCAATTTGCTTTTCGATAACGGAACAACTGAAACGAATTGAAGCAAAACAAAAATGAAATGAAACAGAAACAGAAATGAGAAAATAAATACGATCCACACACACACGCTCACACACAGTGTCGTACATTTAGGCACGCGGCTACCTGCGGACGACAGCGTTGACGTCGACGACGACGACGACGACGACGCTAAGAAATCACCGCGATTAATTTGGTGTTTTGTTTTGGTTTTGCTTCGAGATGTTCTCTTCTTGAATATAAGTATGTATGTATGTATGTACATATATATGTATGTATGTATGTACATACCCTCTGTTCTATACTGGGAAGGGTATCTTTATTTTCAGCAGATGATAGTAATGAAGGTCGAATTGAGGACCCATAATATATGGGCACTTCCCCCAAAAAGTCCACCGCTCCAAAAAAATTAAATGTCAATCAAAAACCCATTTCCATAAAATGTTTCCCGATCACTATTTTTTGAATCCTTAAAACTGACTTAACTAAAACTATCAACTAATAAAAGTGATCCTTATATATATATGTATGTATGTATACTATTCTATTGCATGACCATCTAGGGTTAAACGCGATTAGAAGCCCTCTGATACCAGCAAAAGTAAAATGTTTGCCTCTTTTGTTGTTACCAGTACCACATTCCCTTACATTACATTCTTCTATAAGAGAAACTGTATGTGAACAAGTTCGTCTGACTAACAGTATCAATTAACTAAAATACTTTGTACAGATATACGTATTTAAATATATGTACATATCTGTATATCTATCTATATATATATATATATATACATATATATATATCTATATGCATACATACATACATACATATGTATGTACATAAATAGGTCGAAAAACGAGTCTTTGTGAGAACAACACTGGTGTTTTGCACGATAATCGACCGAAACTAAACAATCTGTATCTGTTTCTTTCATAATGAACATGACAAATAAGATACAAATTAGAAGAATGTACACATACAAATATCATCTGCAAGGGTATCAAATGCCTCGGCCCCCGAATCGAAGCTTGCTCCTCTTTTGTTTTTGCTGCTGTTTTTGTAAGTTTTTATACGCGTTTTTGGCTTTTTGCCACACCATTGTTGTACAAGGAGGGGGATTGTGGTTGAGTGAAAATGAAACTGTTGCAGCGGCAGGGATGACTGTGACTGCCTCGCTGCGTGACCATCCGTGGCATGCCTGAGTGCCAGCCAGCCCCCACAAAAAACCGTCGCAGGCGCTTTTATTCTTTTCAGCAAAGACAAAACGAAAAAAAAAAACAAGTTTAAATGGAAATACAATAACAATTTCCCGCAGAAGTAAGTCCGTCCCCTCCAGCATTGGCTGGCAGCACGCTTTAATTATCAATAACAACATATTTAAGTTTAATTTGCTCTCTCACTCTAGCGCACTCTCTCTCTCTCTCTCTCTCTCTCTCTCACACTCTTTTTGTTTCCTATGAGCGCGTGCTCTTTGTGGCTGACGCTCTTTGCTTTGGCAGCAGAGTCAGCGCTTGGGGAGTACAGTGGGACTTAGGAGATAAAAACTTTTTTGATTGGGATACATGTGTACATATTCTACATGCATACATATTGTGTATGTTCTTTATAACGTTGCGTTGACGAAGAGAGAGGTAAAACATCACTAAGAAAAACTCTAGACCACAGCCCTCCATTATTTTCCCACAAGTGTGGCAGCTTTGTGTCAGTTCTGTTCGATTGAGTTCGGCTCCATTCCACTGTGCTTCATGTGAATGAACATACATGTACATATAAAAAGTGAGAGCGTCGCCTGCTTTTGCTGGCTCAACCTCATAAACGAAAATCAATGATTCCCATACGCCTGGCCCTCGTCTTCCTCGTCGGCCTGCTGTGCCATCTCTGACTTCGTCTGCTCTGC